GGGTTAAGGTGGGTTCTTGGGAGGGGCGGGGGGTTGGTGGGTTGTTCTTGGGAGGGAGGGGGTGGTCACGGGGGTTCTAGGGAGGGGGGTCAGGGTCCTGGCTCTTGAAAGGCCCTTCGAGGCATCATTTGGCCGCGCTGTGTCCTAGCAAGTTTGGCCGGACGCTTTTCTACTTCCCCGTCGAAAGTTGTTTCTTATTATGTGTGTGTTGTGTGTGTGTGTGTGTGTGTGTGTGTGTGTGTGTGTGTGTGTGTGTGTGTGTGTGTGTGTGTGTGTGTGTGTGTGTGTGTGTGTGTGCGTTGTGTGCGTGCGTGCGTGCGTGTGCGTGCGTGTGCGTGTGCGTGTGTGTGTGTGTGTTTTGTGTGCACGTGTGTGTGTGCGTGGTGTGCGCGTGTGGTGTGTGCGTGTGCGTGTATGTGCGTGTATGTGCGGTGTGTGTCTGTCTACGATGCATGGCCGGAAGATACGTTCGAAATCGCCAAGTACAAATATACAGGCACCGAACACCCGAGGCCACAGAAGCATCCCGAGACAAATCGCCCCTCAAAGCACGTTCTTGCACCCTTGGCAGTGACGCTCTCGGCAGTCATAATCGTTACAACAGTCTAGTCTAATTCCATCTGTTGCAATGGGCATTCTTGTTGCTGTGACGTGCGGTCTACATATTTGCCTCTAAATTAACCCCCGTGTGCAAGGAATGGCCGCAGTTACCATCCACTGGCAGCGGGCGGGACTGAAGCAAGATTGCCAGGCGAGAACGCTACCGCAGCACAACACAGCAACTAGCTCTCGACGAACGAGAATCACAAGCGTAAAAATAAAAACACGCCCCCTCCCCCCCGACACACGCACGCACGCACGCACCCCCCCCCCACCCCCCACCCATACGGGCAGAAACACGCGGGGTCCGAACACGTGAGGAGGACCGCTATTTGCACGTGATATGACTCGGTGGAGATAAAAATAGCCGGTGCTCCTCTGGCCAGCCGATAAGGCATCGCGAGGTAAGATCCGACAAGTGCTTGAGAGAGAGGAGAGAGGAGAGGGAGAGTGGGAAGAGAGGGAGAGGGAGGGAGAGGGAGGGAGAGGAGAGGGAGAGAGAAGAGAGAGAGAGAGGAGGGACGGAGGAGGAGGGAGGAGGAGAGAGAGAGAGAGAGAGAGAGAGAGAGAGAGAGAGAGAGAGAGAGAGAGAGTGAGGAGAGAGAGAGGAGAGGAGGGAGGGAGGGAGAGGAGAGGGAGAGAGGGAGAGAGAGAGAGAGAGAAGGGAGAGAGAAGAGAGAGAGAGAGAGAGAGAGAGAGAGAGAGAGAGAGTAGAGAGAGAGATCCAACAAGTCCTTGCGAGCCGCCACCCACTACTTCAATACTATATATACCAATATATCAAAATAAAAAAAACTGGGAGCAGAACATTGTGTAAGAGCAACGACAATAACCAACAAAGTAGACCTCGATTCCCGAATGAAGCACACGAAATGAAAGACACGAAAGAAAAAAGAAAGAGAAAAAAAGAAAAGAAGAAAGAAGAAGAAGAAGAAAAGAAGAAGAAAGAAAAAAAAAAAGGACTTGACCCTTATCAAGCACTCGATAACACAAATCACAAACAAATACCTCCCTCCATGACAGAGAGAAAAAAAAATGCTTATCCCCAACACTGTGATACAAATGGCGGTCACTTATCTCCCTCACGACGCTCGGGGTTGTCATTTGTCAAGTGACACTGACACCGATATCAGTACTCCTTGCCAATCATCGTTCCAGATAAAAAGGTGGCATTGCAACAGCATCTACGTTACGGCTAGGTTGTGAAATAGCTCGGGGGGGAGGGGGGGGGGAGGATAAGCAGAGAGGAGAGAGAGGGAGGAGAGAGGAGAGGGAGAGAGGAGAGGAGAGTTGAGGAGAAGGGAGATGAGGAGAGGAGGGGAGAGGAGAGGAGAGGAGAGAATTGAAGTTGAAATTGAATTTAAAATGTTTTGCAAGTTGGTAGAGTGAGAGTGAGAGAGAGAGAGAGAGAGAGAGAGAGAGAGAGAGAGAGAGAGAAGAGAGAGAAAGACAGAGAGGAGAGAGAGAGAGAGAGAGAGAGAAAAGAAGAGAGAGAAGAGAAAAGAAGAGAGAGAGAGAAAGAGAGAAAAAGAAGAGAGAAGAGAAAGAGAAAAGAGAGAGAGGAAGAGAAGAGAGAGATAAAACAGACAGACAAGAGAGAGCCAGAGACAAAACAAAAACGCCCCGCTGAACATAACAAACGCAACAGACCCTCCCCTCCCCACCCCACCCCACCCCCCAAATGGCCCTTACAACTTATCAGCCGAGAGAAAAGCTTATAAATATCAGCCAATCCCACTCGCGCGCCCCACCGCCCACTTCACGCCCGCGTTCCCTCGGCCAATCACAAGCCGTGAAAAGGAAAATGTTGACGCCGAGAAGTGCTTGTTGTGCTCGCCACTCGCCTCGCTCTTCACTCGAGATGTATGAAATAGACAAATATAGAGAGGCATGTATATGTGTACATACATACACACATACATACATACACACATACACACCACACCACACACACACATAGTGTGTGTGTGTGTGTGTGTGTGTGTGTGTGTGTGTGTGTGTGTGTGTGTGTGTGTGTGTGTGTGTGTGTGTGTGTGTGTGTGTGTGTGTTGTGTGTGTGTTTGTGTGTGTGTGTGTGCCTGTGTGTGGGCCTGTGTGTGGTGCCGTGTGTGTGTGTGCTGTATGTGTGTGCCTGTATGTGTGTGGCCTGTATGTGTGTGCCTGTATGTGTGTGCCTGTATGTGTTGTGCCTGTATGTGTGTGCCTGTATGTGTTGTGCCTGTATGTGTGTTGCCCGTATGTGTGTGCCTGTATGTATGCGTGTATGTGTGCCAGTAGTATGCGTTATGTGTGCGTGCCTGTATGTGTGCGTATATGTGTGCGTGTGCTTGTACGTGCGCCTTCTCGAAAGCGTAAGGAGCGCCCGCAGGTTACCTAAACGCGACGCCTGGGCTCCCTCTGGCGCGGGTCCCAAGGCGAGGGCTTCCCGTTCTCTAGCGGCGCCGCCGCTCACAGAAGAAAACGATGCATCTTGGTTTGCAACGGCTCACTGCTGTCAGCCGCCAGCGCCGCAACACCAAGGGGGGTCGGCCGGCGGACATATAAAGGACCTTCTTCCCTCGCCTTACTGCAGTGCTGAATATTTCATCATATTCTTGCTAGCAGATTTTTCGAGACCAAACAAGAGTTAATTTCATTTTTCAGGTATAATCACTCAGTGGTTTATAAATAAATTACCACTGTACATATTAATCAAATCCCTTTCAGATCTCTCTTAATTTTAACTCGCTTTAATCCTCCAATTCTAGATTTATTCTCAATTTTTTTAACCACTCCATTTCTATACCTCGTGTTTTAGCATTAAAACTCGTTACACGTGCACAAATTTAATATGTGTAAGAAGACCACTCTGCGATTGTCGTCGCGTGCTGCTAAACATGTAAACAAACCTGTTCAGTACTAACCCCTCAAATAACATATTTGGCGTGGGCAATAACTCAATCAACCAGAGCAACGATTACACATTGTAATCATAGTGCTATCGTCTCTCTATATGTCCGCGCGTTTGGCACTTTTCGAATAAGATAAAGAGATACCTAGTGCGACAACCGGAATATATATATTGACAACTGGAGTAAACTATTGGAAAAGTAGGATTCATTCGATGACAACAATAAGGTTCCTGATAATGATATCATTAAGTGATCTGATTTTTCCGATTGATGAGTCAGCAGTGCGCTTTAATGATAGTGAGTGAGGGAATCGTCTGACTATGATTTCGATGGGATCACGTTAATAATTAATAATAATAATAAATAATATAATAATAATAATAATAATATAATGAAATAATAAATATATAATTTAATAATAAGGAAAGGCAAGGAAGAAGAAGCAAGAAGAAGAAGAAGAAGAAAAAGAACAACACCGCACACAAAAAAAAAAAACAAGCATTAGAGGAGAGCCAGAACAACCTCGAGGTTGTCAACTTTACCCAGGATTGTGTGTGTGGGTGGGGAGACGGTGGGAGAGGAGTAGGGGTTGATTGGAGCGGCTGTTGGGACTCCTGATCTATAGGGGATATATTTTCTTTTTCTCTCAGTTTCTTTATTTTGTTATATAGTTTCTCTGTTTGTTGTACATAAGAGTCAATAGTTCCTTTGACCAGCTCGGATGTATTTCTCAGTTTATTCCTTTCGGCCTCCCCCAGCCATATCGGTCGACGGGCCCTCGTGGTGCATCTCGTATCAGGACCGCCCACCAGCCTCCTTGGGTGCCCGTGAGCCGCAAGACGCTCAGGTAATTCGCCGGGCTCGACGCCTGAAGGAAGAGGAGTAGTGAGGAGAAATCGAAGGGAAATCTTGAGCTTGTCCTTTGAGAACAGTCTGCGATTTTTATTTTTTTTTTATTCAAGAATTTTCTCTGATTCTTTTTTTTTTTTTTTTTTGAATTTTCGATGCCTTGTCTAGAAATGGATAAAGAAATGAATGTTTATAGAAAGTAAGTCAAATTAATCATGAATTTGCAGTGAATTATGTATTTGGGAATAGAGGAAATTTTCTTTTTCTTTTTCTTTCTTTATCACATTGTTATCGTCGTCATCCTTCCCCCTCTTCCCATATTTTCTGATTACACCACAAGTTCAGAAAAAAAGAAAGAAAAAAGTTGGAAGCAAAGTCAAACAAAGCCAGAAATTGAGGATTTATTCGCCCATTTTCTATCTAAATCTTGAAATAACTTCCAATTTACTATATTTTTCCCTTTTCTTTCTTTCCCATTCACTGGCTTTTACCCCCTACTAATTTACTGTTTTTTTTTCCTTTCCTTTCTTTCCTATCCTCTGACTTCTACCCCCTACTCTTAATGCTTGCAAAAAAGCATCAACAACAGATAATAACCCCCCCCCCCAAAAAAAAAAAAAAAAAAAAAAAAAAAAAAAAAAAAAAAAAATCAGCCCCCAAACGGCACACTTACTTGTCATCCACGTAAGTAAACTTCATGTCCAGGGAGTGTTTGCTGACGAAGGTCTGCTTGTCCAGCGGGAACTCGATGTTGGACGGGTGAGGCACGGGCGTCCCCAGCGCCACCAGCCACGCCTGGTCCTCCTCGTGCTGCACCACCTCGCCGCTCACCTGCACCACCTGCAAGGACCGCCTGGTTAGACTACCTGCTGAGACCACCTGCGAAGAATACCTGCTGGAGATAGACTACCTGCACCTGTAGCTAGACACCTAGACTACCTGCTGGGATGCTTGCTACGCAAAGACCACCTGCTTAGACTACCTGCTGAGACTACTTGCTAAGACCACCCGCTTAGACTATCGGCTAAATATACCTGCAATGACTACCTGCCTCATTCACCTGCTGAAACCACCTGCTATGCCTACCTACTACATTCACATGCTTCGGCTACCTGCTAAATCCATCTGTTGAGACCACTTGCTATATTAGACTACCTAATTCACCTGCTGACACCCCCTTTCTTGGACTACCCGCTAAATAAACCTACCGAGACCACCCGCTGTATTCATCGAACTGCGACACCGCTTTCCTAAGGACTTTTCCGACGATTTGCTGATGGCCGCCGCTGCTTATCGGGGTCACAAGATAACCCGGTGCGCCTCGATGGAACTGCGCACGCCACTCGCACGGGAGGCGGGCATGCCATCTGGTCACTTATTTCTTTGACTTATTTCATTCATTCATTCATTCACTTATTCATTGCCTCTCTCTCTCTTTCTCTCTCTCTCCCACTTATTTCTTCATTCATTCATCATTCACATATTCATTCTCTCTCTGTCTTTTTTTTCTTTCTCTCTCCTACTTATTTCTTTGAATTTTTCATTCATTCATTCACTTATTTATTCATGCCTCTCTCTTTCTTTCCTTTCTTTCTCTATCTATCTATCTATCTATCTATCTATCTATCTATCTATCTATCTATCTATCTATCTATCTATCTCTCTATCTATCTATCTATCTATCTCTCTCTCTCTCTCTCTCTCTCTCGACAGACAGGCAGACAAACACACAACCACAACCCACGCACCCACCCACACCCTCCCTCCTCACCTTCCCCTCCTTCCCCCCCAAAAATACCACAACACGAACCTTATAAGAAGCGCTCTTGAGGTTGACGCTGCGCCCCTTGGCCGTGAGCGTGCACTTGAGCCTCAGGAAGGCGTGGCGGGGTTCCTGCGGGCCCTTGGCGGACACCAGATCGCGCACCTCCTCGTGGTCGCAGGGGTGGGTGTACTCGTAGAGGGACTGGCCCATCACGTCCACTGGAAAGGGGAAGAGGGGCGTGCTCTTAAGATGGGGCGCTGGCGTGTCGCTGAAGGGGCCGGGTCAATATTGCATCAGGAATTAACGTAAACATTGGTAAAATGATAATAATAATAAAATTACAATAACAATATCCAGAACAACAATAATAATAATAATAACAATAAAAATCAAATAAATAAAAATACAATATAAAAAAATAATAACAGTGATCATAATAAAGATACACCACGATATTCTCGTCAAAGAGTAATATTGTTGAAGCACTTAAGCAATAATAGAACTTTTCATACGGATAAGTGGGCATAATCACATTAACAACTCGAGCCATAAAAGAGTGCGGACATTCGCACCAAACATCGATGCAATTCCCGTGTCTTGCTCATAAATACCATAATCACATTCAGCTTCTCTTTCAAAATATAAACCCATTTTAGCCTCAAAAAAAAAAAAATAAGAAATCGAAATTACTCCTTCAATGAAAGATGACACTCCTAAATAATCCTCCTGGCACTCCTAAACCCTCCTCCTACTCTAGGACATTCATCCTTTTCTTCTGAATCATTATCCTTCAGCCAATTTGCACACTCAGCGCAATTAAGACCACGCAACGAGCGGATCAATTAACGTTATCGCCCCCATCGTCCTTGGGCTCTCGCTGGGGCTCTCGGGACGAAGGACAAGGGCATCCCACCCCTGCAGGATGACAAATCACTCGAAGCAGTTGGGAGAAAAAAGACAGAAAATCCAGTATCGAAACTGTCGTCTCATCTTCTAATAAATATATTTTCAAAATGGTGTTTTTATTCCAAACACCACCTGCAACAATTTTTTTTTCTCTCTCTCTGTATCACAAATACTTGATAAAAAAATGAACGTGAAAAAAATATGACAGCTGCTATTCCTGCCACTTCACTCTATTACTGACGCCACTGCCTCCCCTCCTCCTCCTGCTCCCTAAACTGATACAACTGCGGTACCGCTGGTCCTATTGCTGATGCAGACCGATACTGTCAAAGAGAACCAACATCACCGGCGCTACTGCTTCGGCTCCTATCACTAATGGACAATGCAAGAGCCATAAGGATGCGGACGCCGAAAGCAACAAGAATCTCGACGCCAATAAATTGCAATCGGAAAAAAAATGAAAAAGGGTGGAGCTAGGTAGGGAGGGGGGAGAGGGTAGGAAGGGAGAGGGTAGGGAGGAGAGAGAGCAAGGAGGTACCGGTCGGCTAGGAAGAAGGTAGGGCAAGGAGGAATGAAGATAGCGAGGAGGCAAAACAGGGAGGAGGTGAGGTAGGAAGAATGCAGGACAGGGTGGAGGTAGATTAGGGACAAACCAAGATAAGGTGGAAGTAGAGTAGGAGAAAAAACTAAGACAGGAACGAAGGGTATGAAGGAAGCGGGGTATAAAAAGACCCGAAACAGAAAAGGAAACCGCGATTCCACATTTCCCAAAGAGTACCCGAGTACCCACGTAAATATTTCGAGTGTCCGCCCCGCCCCACCTTTCTCCCCCGCGCCTGAGAAGTGAACATGGAAGTGAACAACAGAGTGGACAGTGAAGTGAACAATAGAGTGGACAGTGAAGTGAACAATCAAGTGGACAGGGAAGTGAAGAGTGGACAGTGAAGTGAACAATCAAGTGGACAGGGAAGTGAACATGGAGGTGAACAATAGAGTGGACAGTGAAGTGAACAATTAAGTGGAGAGTGAAATGAACATGGAAGTGAACAGTGAAGTGAACAATAAAGTGGACTACGAAATGAACATGGAATGAACAATGAAGTGAACAGTGAAGTGGACAGTGAGGTGAACTGACTGCACTCGTCCGCATATCTCCGTGATTGAACCTCAGGACCTTTCTCTTCTATTTTTAGCCGCCACCAAAATATCAACTTTTTTTCTCTCTCTCTGTCGACCAACCATCATGTGGAGCAGGGGTGACTCGGCTGTTTTTGTCCAGTTTTTTAGCCCTATATATGTGTGTGTGTGTGTGTGTGTGTGTGTGTGTGTGTGTTGTGTGTGTGTGTGTGTGTGTGTGTGTGTGTGTGTGTGTGTGTGTGTGTGTGTGTGTGTGTGTGTGTGTGTGTGTGTGTGTGTGTGTGTGTGTGTCTCATACCTGTGCTGAGAGGGGGAGGGTGTGGCTGAAGGAGACTGGAGGAGGAGAGAGAGAGAGGGAGAGAGAGAGGGAGAGAGAGAGGAGGAGGGAGGAGGGGGAGGGAGGAGGGAGGAAAGAAAGAAAGAAGAAAGAAAGAAAGAAAGAAGAAGAAAGAGAGAGAGAGAGAGAGAGAGAGAGAGAGAAGAGATAGATAGAGAGAGAGAGAAGAGATAGATAGAGAGAGAGAGAGAGAGAGAGATAGATAGAGAGAAAGAGATAGATAGAGAGATAGAGAGAGAGAGAGTGACCGACCCACAGCGATAGAGAAAAAGAGAAAAGAGGACAGACGGACAGACAGAGAGAAAAAAAAAGTCCCAAAGAACGAAACCCCTCCCACAGAAGAAGAAGAAGAAGAAACCGGCTTATCTCCCCATCTCCCCGCATGGAAAACGAAGCAGAATTAAGTAACAGGGACATATCAGATTCGTCACAGGTCTCCCACGAGGAGCCGCAGAACCCGTTCCTCGTTAACTTCTTTTCCCCCCATCTACCCCCATACGTCTTCAAATGTCCTTTTTTTTAAGTCAATCATTTTGATAGCGAAGTCTTTTTTTCTTTCTTCCTTTTTTTCTTATTTCTTTTTTTATTAAGTCAGTCATTTTGATAGCGATTTTTTTCTTTTCTTTTTTAAGTCAGTCATTTTGATAGCGATTTTTTTCTTTCTTTTTTAAGATTTTGATATTTTTTTTTCTTTTTGTTAAGTCAGTCATTTTGATAGGGATTTTTTTCTTTCCTTTTTTTCTTTTTTTATTATTTATTTATTTTTTAAGTCAGTTTTTGATAGCATTTTTTTTTTGATAGCGAATCTTGGCCACACGTGGTCAGTTCGTGATTCGTGTGTAGCTGTAGGGGAGGGCGTGTGTACGTGTGTACGTGTGTACGTGTGTGTGTATGTATGTATGTATGTATGTATGTATGTATGTATGTATGTATGTATGTATGTATGTATGTATGTATGTATGTATGTATGTATGTATGTATGTATGTATGTGCGTGTGTGTACCCAAGCGAGTTTTTACAACCGCTGATATGGCCATTGCATCAAGGGCGCATTAGTATGCACGGAAGGGAGCGTGTCTGCGGGTATGGGGCGTGTGCGCGTCAACGACCAATTCGCAACGAAGGGTCAATCCAATTCAAAACCTATTTTTAGGACGATTATCCGAGCCACAGCAAAAACTCGACGCGACCAGGCCCAAAAAGTCCGACAGACAGACAGACAGACAAGACAGAGAGAAGAGAGATAGACAGACAGACAGACAGACAGACAGAGACAGACAAGACAGACAGAGACAGACAGACGACAGACAGAAGACAGACAAGACAGACAGACAGAGAGACAGACAGACAGACAACACCGAAGACAGACAGAGAGACAGAGAGAGACCGACGAGACAGACAGACAGAAGACCAGACAGACAGACAGACAGACAGAGACACAGACAGACAGACAGACAGACAGACCGACCGCCGCCTCGCCCTCGACGAAGACAGACAGACATCGATCGGACACAGACAGACAGACCAGACGACCGACTCGCCCCTCGATCGCCCCTCGACCGACACCTCATCCATCCTCCGGCCCCGAATCATAATGGCCTTTTAAGAGGTCCCTGAAAGCATACCTCCAAGTCATCACCATCCGTTTACTCGAGGACCATTAATCAATTTTCCACCCACGGGCCCGACGACTTTTTGGAGGCCGATTTTTTTTTTTAAGGTCGCGGTTGTTGTTGTTTACGTGCGTTTCATCATTTTTTGTTTTTGTTTGTTTTTTTGGTTCATCATGTGGGAATAATTGACGACCTTTATCAGCCTTTCTCGACGCGCTACAACGCCGGAGGACCGACTCGGGCCGAGGAAGGAGCGAGGTCTTTTCGGGTCGTTGCGTGGACAATATGCATCGTCCGCTCTCGCTTCCCTTTTCTTTCTTTCTTTCTCTTGATTTCTCTCTTTTTCTTCTTCTTCCTCCCATCATCCTTCTTTCTTTCTTTCTCCTTCCTACCTTTCTTCCTCCTTTACCCCCCTTCCCTCCCTCCAATCCATCTATCCACCCATCCATTCTCCTTTCTTCTTTCTCTGTCTTCTTCACCCCACTATCCTTCTTTCTTTCCTTCTCCTCCTACTTTTCTTCCTCTTTACCTCCCCCCCCCTCCTCCCTCCCTCCCTCCAACCATCCAACCACCATCCATTCTTCCTTCCTTCCATCCCTCCTTCCTTTTTTCTTTCTTTTTCCCTCCTTCCCTTCTACCCACCACCCACCCACCCTCCCCCTTTCCTTCTCTCCTCCCTTCCTCTTCCTCTCCCATCCATCCTTCCTTCCTTCGGCTGGACCGCGCGCAGGAGACCTCAGAGGGAAGGTAGGCAAGATGAGGGGAGAAGTATTCAGGAGTGGAGGGGAAGGCAAGGAGGCGGAGGAGGGAAGAGAAGGGAAGAAGGAGGGACGAAAGAGGGGGGAAGAGGAGGAAATAGGTGGAAGAAAGGGACGGAAGAGGAGGAGAGAAGGGGGGCAGAAGAGGGGGAAAGGGGACGAAGAGGAGGGGAAGAAGGGTGACGGAAGAGGAGGGAAGGAGGCGCGATAGGTGGAGAAGAAGGGGACGGCAGAGTGTGGGGGGGGTGAAAGGGAAGAAGGGTATGTGGAAAGGAAATGTTAGGAATGTTACATGCAAAAGACAAACAAGAGAAGGTGGAGGAGGGAGGGAGGGAGAGAGAAAGGAAAGACAGAGAGGGGGAAATGAGAGGAGAGAGAGGGGAAGAGAGAAAGAGGGGAAAGCGGAGAGAGAAGGGAAAAGAGAGAGAGATAGGGGAAAAGAGAAAGAGAGGGGAAGAGAGAGAGAGA